GTTGTTACCAAGAAATACTTCAATCTTCTCTTCACATTAAGCCAAGCAAGTTTTTCATGCCTAGTTCCCACATTCGTTCTGTAAATACGAGCAGCTTTATTTTGTGCTACTTGTAGCTTATGCAAATTATTTTCACTTGTGCTGGACCAAATAATAGATGCTTGATTACACAAGAAAGCACTAATGATTGAACAAGGCATTTAAGTAAATATTGTGGTATATATTTGCAACAAAATTTAATTATGCCCATACATCTCCCCATTTTGTGTAAAACATAATTAATCTGGCTGGTCCATGATAACTTACAATAAACTATTACTCCCAGTAATTTTACTTCTTCTAGTTGTTCCATTACATTGTTACTCAGAGTTAAATGTAACTTTGGCATCGTCTGTAAAGTATGTTTGGAGCCAACTACCATGCATTTAGTTTTTCCTGCATTAATCACTAGTTTGTTAGCAGTTATCCACAGCTCGACTGTTCTCAACTCTATTTAATATTTCATTCAATATACTCTCCTTATGTGTTGAAGCTAAAACAGTAATATCATCTGCATATACTGCTGTAGTCGCATGTTGCAGCACCCACTGAAAATCATTTAAAAAAATAGAAAACAGAAGAGGTCCCAAACAACTTCCCTGTGGAACACCACATTCCATCAGACCCTTTTCAGAAAAACTGGTGAGGCCCCTGCTGAAGAAGAGCAATTTAGATTTTAATGACAATTATTGACCGGTATCCAACTTACCATTTTTAAGCAAAATTTTGGAAAAGCTTGTTTTAATTCAACTTAATGATTTTATCAACACCCATAATGTCTTTGAAAAATTTCAGTCTGGTGTTAGGGTGAACCACAGCCCTGAGACGGCCCTTCTGAAGATTTTAAATGATTTTAGAGTAAATTATGATGCCCGGAGGGTGACTGTGTTGGTTCTACTGGATCTAAGTGCTGCCTTTGATACAGTAGACCACACTATTCTTTTAACTCATTTGAAACGGATCGGCCTCTGGTGCTGTTCACTGGTGGTTCACATCCTACCTCGCAGACAGAACTTTCCTGGCGAGTCTGGATACCTGTTCCTCTAGGGTTCATGGGATTACATGTGGTGTGCTCCAGGGTTCAATTTTAGGCCCAGTGCTTTTTAACCTTTATATGCTCCCTCTTGGCAGTGTCATCAGGAGACACGGTGTGAATTTCCACAGTTACGCTGATGATACACAGTTGTACATCTCTGTGTCCCCTGATGACACATGGCCAATGGATGCACTTTTTAACAGCATTTTAGACATCAAATCCTGGATGGCAGAAAACTTTCTCCAGCTCAACCAGACAAGTACCAAAGGACAACAGTTTGGTGATTTGTCCACTGTAAGGTCAGAGGTCATCTCACGGAAGTGTCCAGGCTGTTCCACCTGCCTGGAGCATTGCGTTCCCCCTGCACTGGTATCCAAACCAGTAAACACCCTGCTCTACGACCTTGTTGCCAAGAAAGGAAGCCATAATAAACCCTTCCCCTGAATTCCTTTATCTTAGCTGAAACCAAACTGGCAGAAAAAAAAGGTTCATCTTCCTTGAGTCATAAATGACTTTGGTTTCCTCCCGCAGACCAAGTTTCGGTTAGGTTAATCTGAGACTAAAATGATGCTTGATGTGACTGGTTACCGTAATTTCCAGATTATAGAGCGCACCTCAATATAAGCCATACCAATTTAAAAAAAAAGGTTTTCTACACACACACACGCCTCACTCGAATACAAGTCGCGGCGCAGCAGCCACATGCAGGTCTCCGGCGCACAGTGCATGTACGGCCATAACATAAGATAATTAGACAGAAAGATGCTACATGGAGGTTTTCCATTGTTTTAATTCAACAAAACGAACTTTAAACACGGATGAACATGCTGCAAGTTTAGAAAAGAAAACAGCACTGATAGCATTCATATTTCTGGATGGTTATAAAATAAAAACAGAACTGACACTTTATTACCGGCCATTTGCATGCATGTTTAGAAGAAAAGAACAGCGCTGACACAGCATCAATAAGCCCTGGATGATTAGAAAATAAAAACTGCACACAAAACATGCCTGGTTAGTAAATAAAACACACTTGCCTACCAGAAAAAGTCATTTGCTCTCATCTTCCTCTTGTGCACAAAAGCCATTAAAGTCCTCTTTTTCAGTGTTGGAGTTGAACAGCCTCAGAAGAGCTTCGTCACATACCTTTTCTGTGGCGATGTCAGTGTCGTTGTCCGTGTTGCTGTCATCATCCCCGGGTGAAGCTGGCTTGAATGAGTTCTTCCCACTGCTGTCTCCAGCGTTGAACCATGGATTAATTCATGCCAAGCTTACGTGCGGCAGCACTGTTTCCCTCCTTTACTGCCAGATCGATGGCCTTCAACTTAAATGCAGCACCATATGAACTCATACATGTAGTTACCATGATGAGGGGGTATGGATTTGACACAAATTATTTGTCATGCCGGCTGCTTGCATGTGCTAAATTAAAATGAGCTCTTTCTTCGATTTCCACTTTTGACTTCCACCTGTTTCACTTTCTGCTAAAGCGCCCCCTAGTGGCAGGTGAAGGAAACTCTTCAGTAAAGCCACACCTCATTATAAGCTGCACGGTTCAAAGCGTGGGGAAAAGGTAGCGACTTATAGTCCGGAAAATACGGTATTTTTCTCTCTTATGGACTGAAGACCTGTCCAGGGTGTCTCCTGCCCTTCACTTGATGATAGCTGGAGATAGAAATGAGCTTCCCATTAGGGTGAAGCAGTTCAGATGGATGAATAGATGAATGGATACTAATTTACATCAGTAGGGAGCAGAGTTTTATGATAATCATTGATGTTGCTCAAACTACATTTTTCTAAGGAAACACGCTCATTAAAGAGACAATGTGTTTTATTGTTAATCCCTGGGAATATTCAGCAAAATGGTGTTGAAAATGAATTAAAAGATGAAAAATATTTAATGGCTTCATAAAATATAACCATAAAACCCAGGTCTAAAATACATGAAAGCGGGTCTAAGTCTCTGGGTGACGCCATATTAGACGCCATGTTTCCTTCTACGGGAGCCAGTGAGGACAAAATGCATTTACTGGTTTGTAACAAATGGTTACAAAACATTTGCCATTCATAAACATTGTTGTTTTACACATTTACTGCTTCACTTGAAATGATAAATACCAGCACTTGTATAGCGCCTCTCAGAGTAAGGACTCCAAAGCGCTTTACACTACAGTGTATCATTCATCCAGTCACACACACATTCACACACTGATGGTGATGAGCTACGATGTAGCCACAGCTGCCCTGGGGTGCACTGACAGAGGCGAGGTTGCCGAGCACAGGCGCCACCGGTCCCTCCGACCACCACCAGCAGGCAAGGTGGGTTAAGTGTCTTGCCCAAGAGCACAACTCTGTCCGGAACCAGGATTTAACCTGCAACCTTCCAATTACTGGACAACCCGCTCAACCTGTTGAGCTACTGATGCCTACTAGCTTCTGCTATCACTTGGTGCTAGTGATAAAAGTGAGTCTGATGTGCTTGTTATTTTGCTGGAGGTTTTCCTCCCAGGGATTTTAGACGCTAATTGACATCCCTTATTAAGGTCTTACTCGGACACAAAACACTGCTTGCTTGCAATGATTTAGTTATGTACGGCCCCCTATTATCAGGAAAAATACACACTGTCACTTTCAGTAGGTTTTTATTTGAATGACTGAACAAAGGGTCAACAGACCAGAGTCATGCATTTGTTCATCACAACAAATAAAAGATACAAATAAACCAAACAATGAATCGCTAGTATTCATCCTTCAGAACAAATCAAATGTTTGAATTCAGTGAAGTTCCCTTACCTCTCTCAGTAGCCGTAACATATATAAATGCTTTCTGAGTATTTATCTGTGGACAAAAAGCTCTTGTGTTCCTGCTTCACTAGGTAGAATTTTGTGTGTTTTGTGAGTGTTACTCATTAACTTGCATGATATGCAAACATCTTGCCTCTGATTGGCTGACAGCAACACAACTCTTCCACTACCTTTCTTACCACATTTCAGACTACTGTAAATGTAACATTAATGTGTTATCTTCACAAATAACACAAACCCAAATGCCCATCCTGGTGTGTTGAGTTGCCAATGGTTTAGCTCCTACTAGCTGAGAAGCATTCTACTCTCTCGTGGTCTCAAGCCATGGTGGGCGGAGCCATGAATGCAAATTTTCTCGGTGAGGTAAAACAGTCTGGCTTTTTCTGACTTGTTATTTTCCCACTTTATTTATTTTACTTCCTGTGGCTAATGCAGGCTACAAGCATTGAAGAAAGTTTTCACTTTCATCCTGCATATGCAACTTATAGTGATCGATTGAATACATTTTTTACGAGGTTTCTCAGTGAACGAGGCCTGTTGGCATCCCTCTAATTGCTGAACTGGAATGTTGCCTAGTTATTTGAGATTTATTAGCTTAAGGACTTGATCCCTACTAACCAGATCAAAGGATACTCCCAACCAATCCTCTCTGATCTTGCTTTAGCTCTTTATAGTTGCATCTCAAATTTAGTTTCAGTGCATCTAAGATGCAAACAACACCACTGGTCATTTCAAAAGTTTGATAATAAAAGTGGAAACATTGATAGATTCCTGGGGAAGGCCATGCATGAGAGAACCGTGTCAACATCAAGGGCTTTAAGCCTGGTCGTAGAGTGCACAGAGAGTCCTTGCCTGTAATTGGAAGGTGTTGGATGGATAGAGATGCAAGAAGAAAAAACCTGGGTGAGGAGAGGATGAGTTTTTGGGAGAAGGGGAGTTCAAATAAACTGGAGGCAGTAAACAGTAAAGGCAGTTCTGTTTACGTATTGTCTGATACTGAAGTTTGTTTACTGATCTGAAACATTTACGTGGTTAAAGATAAAAAAAACTGAAGAAATCTGCAGTCCTTTTCATAGCCCATAGATTTCTTTAAATCAGTCTCTTATTTTTCTTTCAACAGGTGTGGCTCACAGAGATTCATGAGTATGCTCAGCAAGATGTGGTCGTCATGCTGTTGGGAAACAAGGTGAGAAGAGTGGACAGATGGATTCATAGAGGGTGGGCAGGAAGGCTTGTGTCATGGGAGTTGGAGGACAGATGGATGAGACAGATATTTTAGAATGAAAACATGGAGAATTCACTCACATTACATTTTGTAAGTTAGAACTATTGTTGTACATTTGCACTAACATTGGATCAGCTGGCATTAAATGTTTTTTGTAACTAATGATATTCAAGCTATTAATGAGCCAACATCACTGAGTCAGAATACTTTAGTATAGAGTATGTGGCCCCAGCCACCAATAAAATGGTGGAGCCTACAATGCTATAGGGAGCCTAAGGGTGTTTCTCAATGCCAAGGAACCTCGCCTTGATGTCTTGGCCTTGCCCCGGTTGCCTAAGAGATGCATCATCGGAAGCTGCCAAGACGTGTTCCAATGTTCATGTTCTACCGAGACGTGTGTTCTCAGTTTATTAGTCTTTTAGCTAGCTGAGCAAGGATACACGGGAGGTTCTTATAGCCTAGCCTTGGTCAAAAATTACCCAGAATACACAGGGGTATTTTCAAAAGGATGGCGGATCAGAAGCCAGCAGCTACTTCGGGGACAATTTTCAAGTCTAAAAATAAGTCAACTAATTTAAAATGTTATTTTTTAGATCAAAATAAGTTATCTATGGTTGGTTAGTTGCTTATTAGTTGCAGCTTCGGTGGCTAGCGGGTAGTAACTCACTTATATATTTAATTTAACAAATATATACACAATTTAAAAAGTTAAAAGCTCGTTATATATTTAAATTGAAACTGATACGTATAAATATAACGCTATCTCCTGTGTCACGTGACGTTATGTGACTGCCGTGGACGCCGCAGTCACGTGATGCAAGTCTGTTCCATTTAAAGAGCTAATTGCAGTTTAGAGACTCAATGTTTAGAGAAACATAATAAAAACTTTAATTTATTCTCTGCATTTGACCCATCCCCTGGGGGAGCGGTGAGCTGCAGACAAGCCGCGCTCGGGAACTATTTGGTGGTTTAACCCCCCAATCCAACCCCTTACATCAATGGTATTTTTTTTACAGTAAGACACCCACATTTTTATTTCAGACTCGCCGAACGGCATTGAATTCACAGATAAAAAAAGATGTGGGTTCAACTTTCATTTTGGAACAATTTTTCAATCAAGGGAAGGGAATGATCTGAGCATGCAGGAGGACTGACCCATCATAAACCTTTGTCGGCTGTGCTGAAGAGAAAGGTACAGAACCAAATTATTTAATTAATGAACTGCGCGTTGTCCTGTCCTCTGTCCTCTGGGCCACACACACACAAACACACACACACACACACACACACACTGCACGTTCAGCCGGCCGACAAGAAAGTGCAGCTGCAGAGATAGAAGCACATTATTTTTATTAATTTGCTGTGTTCTTCGGTCCTCGGGGCCACACACATGCACGGAGCTGACTGTCTCAGCTGTTATTTTCGTTAAGGAGTGTGCACATACAGCATGCGCGCCTCGTGCACGAGCCTAATATTGAAGCTGCCGTTACGCTTTTGGCGTCCTGCAGCACTCCGTGAGCGCGGGGGTGTTGCACACGTTCTGCTGCTGTTTCTCACCAGTATCAGCTGATGGAGGGCTCTAGTTTCATTGCGCCGTTTATGTCAGCAGATACGGTAGGGGGGCATGACGCTTAGCATAGCTGGTGGCCAAGCAAAGCCTGGCGAGCCACCAGGGTTATAAAGAGCTGGGGGAAACCCTGGGGCTATACAAGTTATGTTCTGGTCTGCTTTGCCTTATATCCTGAACCACACATATACTGTACTCCAATTTCAATGATAAACAGTCGTCTGTTTTTGGTTAAAGTTAGGGCTAACCCTTACCCTAACCCTAAAAATCTTCTCCCCCAGAGTAGCTGCTACTTACCACTTTGTCAGGGTTATAGTGGTTTTCTCTGAGTTTAACTCATTCACTGCCAATGACGACTAAAATCGTCATTGGCATTTTTTTTACTGTTTGGGTGTCGGAACGAGCCCCCGAACGGAATGAACAAACATCTCAGCTCTGAAGCTGATCTTCATCCGCATACGTCACACGTCACATGATCAGGAAGCAGAAAATCCATGTGTTAGGAGATTGTTTTGGGCCGTTCCTGTAAAAAAAAAGTGAAGAGCAAACTGGAAAAGCTTCTGCCGATCAGAATTCGACAACGGATTATGAAGAAACAGATAAAGCTCGGACCACAGACGCGTGGGCCAGCTGGTTTCCGGGTCGGAACCGGATCAGAACTGCCGCCTGGACCACCAGGAGAGGATGCGTGGCTTTTAAAAATACCACCTCGACTGTCTCACTCGTGTTTGGGTCAAATCCAGCTCACAGAAGCCCGCATGAGCTCCAGAACCGGATGACAGGCGTCTCTCTCCCTCTAAGTGCTAACCTACGATATATGAACGGATATTAGCGGGTATGAGACCGTTGACAGATGCTCATTAGTATTAATATTATATAACTGACCAATATTATTTTAATTGTCTGGTACACGATAGTAATCAGTACAATATTGTGATGTTAGCACACGAGTTTAAGCTAACATGGCTAACTCACCTGCTGCTCTCCACATTTTGTGCTTTGGACAATGGTTTCTCCCTCTTGTTTGTCTCTGCCCTCTGGGGTGTAGCGTTATGGATTTATGCTCTTTTATGAAAGAGAAACCATGCTACGTATTAATTCGGAATATTAATTTTAATAAATCAATAACCAAATTTTATATTGTTCAGAAGACTCAAAGGTTGTTTTCATCCATAAACTGCCGATAATATCTGAGTGTCTGTGTTTCAGTTCAATGAGGAAACAAGTTTGAAGGATTAAAGTTTTAATTCTTCAAATTAAACTAATGATTTTGAAAATTGACAAACAGGAAATAACAATCACATTGGCAACTTTGTGGGACAATCTTTTAACAGTTTATATGCTGTTCTTGCTCAAATAGACCTTCTGGTGAATTTATGAAGATTGAGAATGTTGTGACATGAATGCGTGTGTGAGTCTGATTTTGCTTCAGGAAGAAACAGGTGTCTGAGTGAAGTGATGGTTTGGATAAACTTAGGTCTTATCAGAGAACTGCATCAAACGCTAAAACCGTGCTCTGTCTCACCGAACTCTTGTGGACCCTCTTTCGGATCCGGGCCGTGGAGGATGTTGTGGTTCATCCAGATGACACCGGCGGCTGACAGGAGACATAGGTGTCGAACGGAACCGGTCCAGAGTTGCCCTCGGTACACGTGGATGGTAGAGCGTTTTATCGATGCGCTTTCTTAAGTTAATTCACTCAGAAATCAAAAGACTCGGTAATGAGTCTTCGTTAGAAGTCGCGATTCAGCTATTCTGCCTGGCTTGGCAGAAACAGCGTGAAAGGGGGGAAGAACGAGCCAACAGGCTCTGCCCCCCCTTTGGTTTTCAGGTCTGTTCTCTCTCGTTGTCCAACACGAACTGACTCAAAAGATTGAAAACTTACCAAAAACCTTTCTCTTCTCAAAGCAAAACATGTGCGTCATCAAATGTGTCTGGAGTTTACTGTGGGCAAGATGTGTGTGGGTGTGTGTGAATGTTTGTGTGCTTGAGTGTGAAGGTCAGTACCACACATTCAACATTATCTACTTAAGTGTGGATTCATTAATCCATTATAATTACCCCAAAGCATAATAGTCATTCATTTGATTAAACACATTTATAATGAGCAAAATGATAATGGTTATTTTAACATTAAAATCAAGAAAAAGAAGTTTAAACTTTATGTTTTGACTTGGTCTGGGTACAACTCATGTAAACACATCTTCTGGTAGACTGCAGGTGGCAGATGTTATGGTTTCCTCCCAGACTCGCTGGCGTTCAGGTCTTAATCTGTGGGTGAAAGTTCTCAGCGACCCAGCTTTGACACAGCTGAGTCCAACACCACCATTGTGACAGAAAACCCATATTTCCTCACGTTACATTCCCCCCTTTTGTGACGACATGGAGGTCAAGCAGAGGCCACCTGACGTCACAACCACAATAACGTGATGTACTCGTAAAGGTAGACATCCCAGATGAAGGCAGGAACGATGAAGCGTCACCACAGGTCTCGTGTAGAAGGGAGTCTATCCTGATCAGATGATTAAGGCCAAAACTGTTGCAATCATTGTAAAGTAATCCACTTAGGAATCTTGAAAGCAGAGCTATTTCAATAGCAGTTAAATTTCATCAGCAATAATGCAAAGGTATGCAAAGGATAAGCAGCTCGTGTGCCACACGGAGCTGGGCAGGTGATGTATTCCCCAGGCGTAGTCCAGGCGAAGTCCAGCGCAGACCTCGACCCATCTCGAACCACGACCGAAGCCCCATGCGACAGGAAACCAGTTGAAGGATGGTGAAGACGACCCCTCTGATGGGATGTAGTCCATACGAGCTTGGAGAAGGAGACAAAGTGAGACAGCCCACACGATAGATAGCATTTGATGCAAAACAAAGAAATCAATCAAAACCTATCTATGGGTGCCTCTGGGAAAATGTGGGTGCCTTTTGTGAATTATCTAAAGAAGAAATGTACTGCACCCTGTTCTACATGTCATGTAAAAACGTGATGCAGAGAAAACACAAATAAAAGAAAGTAAATCCTAACTGATATGTGAAACTCAGCAGGCTGCATTAATTAAAGGCATATATATAAAGGAAATAATCATGAAAATGAAGGGCAAATTGGCTTCTGGCCCTTTAAGGGAAATAGTAACAAAATAAAATTAACTTTGTAATCAAATATAATCATGCTACACAAAGCACTAATAAAAAGATAGAGATGTAAATCAGTTCTAAAAATGTAAATCAGTAGGTTAGTAATCCCTAAAGATGTGAGTTAGTAACAGGACCCTGGCTGGAGGCAGGTAACCTGAAAAAAAAACTCAAAGGATATCACATTTGTTAAAAATTCATCCCACAAACGAGAGAATTTGTAACGGTCCACCAGTCAGTGGAAAAGAATCCGGTCAGAATAGAGTCGGTCAGAATAGAGTTTTGAATCTGGTATTGCGGACCCACAGAGACACGAGTTTGGACGTATCTGTGGGAGCAGGCTCATAAGCGATTTGGTTATCAAACTGTTTGTATCTTGTGTTACGAACCCACAGGGAAACTTGTTTGAATTTACCTGAGGGTTCCGTTTGGAACTGGAGCGAAGCTGATGGTTTAGCTGTTAGATCAGAACCTGATTTTACCTGCTCAAAGTTGTGTTGCAGCTTAACGGAGGCGACTTTGTTGTGATCAGAAATAGTAGTGAACTGGAAATGCGAAAATGATGCTCGCAAAGCGGGAGGAGGCTCCCCACCCCCCTTTTGTTTCTCAAACGTATGCCGTGTCTGTGAGACAGGAGAAGCATAACAAAGAACAGTTCTTAAGCTCTTAAAAGCTCTATTACCAAGAAGATGCACATTGTCACCTGAATCGTGCTGAAAGAGTAGGTGTTCAGATGTCCAAAGACCTGGAGGTGTTGGACTTGGAGGTTCTGAAAAGGAGTGATCCAAGGATGGTTGTGTCACGGGTGTCAAAGCAAACCTAGCCATGTTTAGAATCAGATACAGACATGATGCTAGCTTTGGGAACATGGTCTGTCCTGAAAACTGAAGCCAAGAATACTTTATACCCAAGAATGATGGAGGTTCCCACACAGAATCAGAAAAACCCGGTTTAACCAGAGTATCTACAGACTGACTAGAACTCCGCCCCGTAGAAGGTGCAGCACCTAACTCCGGGTCGGAGGTCAATGTTGTCAGCCGAATTGGTGGAAGGTCAGTGTCGATTTCTGCAATGACCCGCCCGCTCGGAAGAGGCGTTCCCCCGAACCGGTTGAAGTCCGCAACGGAAAATTCAGAGCCACTCAGCACCCCCCCTTTGTCAGGAGGGGCCCCGAGCAGAGCATCACTGCACGCACCTACACCTCCCGGGCCGGGTTGCCTTCCCGAGCCCGTGAGAGAGGTGTGCACAGCAACCACCGAGCCACCTTTAATATCGCCACTGACCACAGGACTGCTGGAAACCGCAGGGTTTTCTGTGTCGTCGCGGTCACCTGTAAGAGAAATCACAGGAAAGAGAGCACAGAGAACCGAGACTAAGTCACACCCCTGTGAAAGGAGAAAAGAATTGGCCACCGTATTAGCAGAGGTCACAAACTGAAAAGTGACAAGGTCATTCACATAAAGGTCAAGATGTCCGGGCACAAACCCCTTAAATGGCATGGTAGCTCCGTCCGGAGACCACAAGTGCTTCACGGCGGCTGACATTTCCATCACGCCCCGATAAAGAAGCTGGTTTGTGCATGAGGCGGACTGACGAGTAAAACAGACCTCTGACTGAAGCGGTGGGTCACAGCCTGAAGATTTCACACCCATGCTGGAGAGATGTTCAGCCTTTAACATGGACGACAGAGGAGAAGCATTAGGAACCAAAGGGTTAATCACAACCTGTTTGTCAGAGAGGTTAACCATAGGCTCAAGAGATTTATTCAGCTTAAAAGTAGCAGAGAAAGTGTTGTTCATTTCAAACCTTGATGTTGATGGTGGGTTTTTGACCCCCTGGAAGAAATAAAAGTAAAGAAAAAGCGTTATGACTGTAAACAGCATGTTGTTTGAATTCACGTCATGAATTGCAGACCAGAACCACCTCCGACCCAGTGCAGCTGGCACCGAACCGCAGCCACTAGTCCCCGCTGCTCCCGACCGGCGGCACCCGCCTAAAACGGGCCCGTTCGGGCGGGCGGAGGGACCAGCGATGCTCGGCCGGTGAACAGTCTCCTGCGTCATGGCATGTTCTGGAAGCAGAACGTCAGAGAACCTTACACCAGGTGTAACAGTGCAAGAAAGATTTTGTCGTGTCTCGTCCATCTCCCATTAAGTTCAGAGCAACTCGCGTTTTTACCTTCTGAGCCGACGTAAAACTCCGGGCAGATTCCTTAATATGTCTCACACAAACAAGGACTGTCCGTAGCCTACTTAACTTTATGACACAGGGTAAAACAAGGAATTGTTGATAGAGAAATGAATACACACAACTTCACAAGATGGAAGAAAAAGGCATGGAACCGAGCAACGGAGGCTGTGAAAGCCGACCCGATCACCGGTCCAAAATAAAAATAACAAAAAAAATAATAAACCCTACGCTGCCGAGATGCTATCAGACGGACAAACGTAGCAAAATGTAGATTCTACACACCGTAGCAATTTACAAGAACCACCGCCAATGCGGGTTTTGTGAGGACACAGACTGACTGTGTCAGAAATGGTATGACAATCTAACGGGACGCGTTCCCTTTTTGTCTAACTGTGGTGCTAGCTTAGCTCTCCGGCCAGGTCTAGCGTTCTTTGTCTGTAGCGACCAGACTTAAATTTTCCCGATTAACAAGTAGGCATCTCGCCCCGCTTGTAATACGGACTTTAAAAAACGTACGCAATCTGAATGCAGTAACGCGTGACGGCCATAACCCGGCTTACGACGTTTACCGTGCAATCAAGCAACAGTAGGTGCCTACGGGCATTCCGTTCAGATTGTTTCTATAAGTCTCCCATGCAATGGAGATATTTTCCACAATAGCTCGCCCACAGTGTCAACACACTGAGACGAAAGGTGTCCGAGAATTTAGTCTCGGTTCTGAGGTTCGGAGAATTTAGTGATAATTTTAGGAACTGAGGATAAGCTGCTCACGGTAGCTCACCCAGCAATGGTCAGAGCGGAAACGTAGCTTTCCGACCTGAGGTTAGACTAGAGACGCGGCGGCGCGTCAAAATGGACAGAATTGAGTCAAAAGCACAACTCACACGTTCGCTCCGAAGACGAAGATGGGATGAATCAAAGTTAGGTCTGTAATTTGCGGTCAATTTGAGATCGGAGATCTTCCCGGTCAAGTTTCCACCAGGACGCCTCCCGGAAGAGTGACTTCAGCGGAACAATTTCCGGTTAAGTTCAAAATAAGACATCAAAGTGAAACACAGAGAAAAGCGTTGTTTGTAGCTTTTAGATGTAAGAAATCAGACATATCGCAGATATAGAAGACTGGATACGCTCGCCATTAAATGTAGCGTTATGGATTTATGCTCTTTTATGAAAGAGAAACCATGCTACGTATTAATTCGGAATATTAATTTTAATAAATCAATAACCAAATTTTATATTGTTCAGAAGACTCAAAGGTTGTTTTCATCCATAAACTGCCGATAATATCTGAGTGTCTGTGTTTCAGTTCAATGAGGAAACAAGTTTGAAGGATTAAAGTTTTAATTCTTCAAATTAAACTAATGATTTTGAAAATTGACAAACAGGAAATAACAATCACATTGGCAACTTTGTGGGACAATCTTTTAACAGTTTATATGCTGTTCTTGCTCAAATAGACCTTCTGGTGAATTTATGAAGATTGAGAATGTTGTGACATGAATGCGTGTGTGTGTCTGATTTTGCTTCAAGAAGAAACAGGTGTCTGAGTGAAGTGATGGTTTGGATAAACTTAGGTCTTATCAGAGAACTGCATCAAACGCTAAAACCGTGCTCTGTCTCACCGAACTCTTGTGGACCCTCTTTCGGATCCGGGCCGTGGAGGATGTTGTGGTTCATCCAGATGACACCGGCGGCTGACAGGAGACATAGGTGTCGAACGGAACCGGTCCAGAGTTGCCCTCGGTACACGTGGATGGTAGAGCGTTTTATCGATGCGCTTTCTTAAGTTAATTCACTCAGAAATCAAAAGACTCGGTAATGAGTCTTCGTTAGAAGTCGCGATTCAGCTATTCTGCCTGGCTTGGCAGAAACAGCGTGAAAGGGGGGAAGAACGAGCCAACAGGCTCTGCCCCCCCTTTGGTTTTCAGGTCTGTTCTCTCTCGTTGTCCAACACGAACTGACTCAAAAGATTGAAAACTTACCAAAAACCTTTCTCTTCTCAAAGCAAAACATGTGCGTCATCAAATGTGTCTGGAGTTTACTGTGGGCAAGATGTGTGTGGGTGTGTGTGAATGTTTGTGTGCTTGAGTGTGAAGGTCAGTACCACACATTCAACATTATCTACTTAAGTGTGGATTCATTAATCCATTATAATTACCCCAAAGCATAATAGTCATTCATTTGATTAAACACATTTATAATGAGCAAAATGATAATGGTTATTTTAACATTAAAATCAAGAAAAAGAAGTTTAAACTTTATGTTTTGACTTGGTCTGGGTACAACTCATGTAAACACATCTTCTGGTAGACTGCAGGTGGCAGATGTTATGGTTTCCTCCCAGACTCGCTGGCGTTCAGGTCTTAATCTGTGGGTGAAAGTTCTCAGCGACCCAGCTTTGACACAGCTGAGTCCAACACCACCATTGTGACAGAAAACCCATATTTCCTCACGTTACAGGGGCGAACAGCAAACTCATGACCTTATGGTTTTGGCCATCATTAGTATAATTGTAAACATTTAAAGTTTCCTCTGTGTCAGCGCTGGCATTATAATCTCTATTTTTCTCTGGATTAAGCTGTAAAGAGTTAATATACATGTTATTTAATGACCCATGAGACATGAGATTCCATAGAAATATGGAATCAATCTGATGGATCTGTGGGTACTTTTAACCAGAAGATTGGAACTTTTTATTGCAGGGATTATGTAACACTTCGTATTGACTGAGAGACAACAGAAGAGAGAGTCAAGTTTTAAAAGTTTAAAGATTTATTACGAAACAAATTAAAGCTAGACTAACATTAACACTAAACGTATGGTGTATCTAAGGTGAAGTGAGACGGAGAATGGTGTAGTGTGGAATGTTGTTCAGAACCAGCAAATCCAAAGAAGCGATTTGTTCTGGTGGGAGTGAAGATTATGTCTTTGCGCTAAGCTTTGATTCGGAGATTCATAAACACATTCGACGCCATTCTGTTGGTCTACGTACCCTTAGCGGAAGTCCCCGTCTAGATGAGGAGGTGTAGAGGTCCAGCTTTGACCTTTGGAGCCGAAGCCTGTAGAACAGCCGCAGCAGCCGACCAGTCCAGTCTTGAGATACTTCCGGGTCACTACAGTTTATCTGCATCTAACAAGACCCAAAACGGGGTCGTGATGGTTCAGCTTTTATTCTGAAAGGAACCGTTGCAGCAGGTGGGACGGCAACAGGTTTATACAGCTTGTCGTTGCTTCTTTCGGCTGAAAAGGAAAGTTACGGATTGGCCACTCCGACACTTCTCTAGAACACTTTGAACTGGCATTAAAGTTGACGTGGGCATAGTTTTATACTTCGGATGTTTTGGTTTATGGTCAAATGAAAAGGTGACAGATTTACCAAGCACCACCAAAACCACGCCTCCGTCAGATCTGGAAGATTCTGATTGGATCAGAAAAAGCAGTGTGTCATGTCTTAACGCTACGTGAGATCAGTCCTAGTGGAAACATTTAAAGTTATATTACTTATTATATTCTATAGGATTATAATAAAGTAATTAATATTTTCATTTCACAAATTGGTTCACATTTTATTATTGACCAACACTTTGTTTGATTAGCTTATTAAAAACTGAGTTCTTTGATTTATTAAAAAGAGTGAGTCCTTTTCTTCATTCTTCTCTTGGGCTGGAAAAGAAAGCAGTTTGTAGCAAATGCATGAGACCTTGAGGCCATATCTCATGCAGACCAGTTCTGGGTCAGAGGAGAGGGGGAAAATGACTTTTGGGTGGAAAACACTCATTTCATTCCGTTACAAAACTAACAGGACTCCCTCAGATGACATCACTTGGTTTGGCCAAAAAAAATACTTTCTCACAAAAAAGACTCTAAAAGCCTAAATAATTTATGTGTGTTTAAAAAAATGTTTAAACCAAGTTTTTATTATGTTTCTCTAAACATTGAGTCTCTAACCTGCAATTAGCTCTTTAAATGGAACAGACTTGCATCACGTGACTGGCGTCCACGGCAGTCACATAACGTCACACAGGAGATAGCGTTATATTTATACGTATCAGTTTCAATTTAAATATATAACAAGCTTTTAACTTTTTAAATTGTGTATATATTTGTTAAATTAAATATATAAGTGAGTTACTACCCGCTAGCCACTGAAGCTGCAACTAATAAGCAGCTAACCAACCATAAATAACTTATTTGGATCTAAAAAAACATTTTAAATTAGTTGACTTACTTTTAAACTTTAAATTTGCCCCCAAAGTACCTGCTGGCTTCTGATCCGCCATCCTTTTGAACATACCGCAGTGTATTCTGGGTAATTTTTGACCAAGGCTATTCTACACAACACCTCCCGTGTATCCTTGCTCAGCTAGCTAAACGGCTAACAAACGAAGAACACGCTTCGGTAGAACATGAACATTGGAACATGTCTTGGCGGTTCCTGATGACGTATCTACGGGGGTGGGGTGGGGGTGGGGGGGGGGTCATCAAGGTAAGGTGCCTTGGCATTGAGGAACAACCTAGGTCTCTGGGCGACCCCATATTGGATGCCATGTTTCCTTCTACGGACGCCCATGAGGACAAATGCATTTACTGATTAGTGACAAATGGCAACAAAACTTTCAGCATTAATAAATGTTGTTTTACACATTTACCTCTTCACTCGTTGCCAGTGATGAAAGGGAGTCTGATGTTCTTGTTGTTTTGCTGGAGGTTGTTCTCCCAGGGATTTTTCACTCTAATGGCCATTCAGTGGTAAGGTCTTACTTGAACACAACAGTAATGCTTGCTTGCATTAATTTAGGTATGTACTGCCCCCTATCGCCAGGGAAACTACACACTGTCACTGTAACTATTGCTGCCTGTTGAAAATAAGCACTTTCCTGGCGTCAAATTATTTCTTTCAAATTCATGGACATCATTTATTAAATGCATGGCACATGTCAAACAGGATCAGACTCCCATTCATTTTTTGGGCAGCCGGAAACCCATGGTCCGGAAGTAAATGGGCGTGACCTAGGCTCCCTATATAATGTTTTGGTTTTTTTCCACATTGTAAGATTCAAGTGTACATCAGTGGCATTTAGTGGGGATAACTGCATTATGAGATTCGGATATACTTCTAATTCATCATTTAAACATCCAAACACTTACGTCGTTAGTTGCATACTGCTCTACCTCAGCAGGATTACCTAGTATACAGAGCATCGGTTACATGTTGGGTTTGTGTTCCAGGCCGACTCCACACATGATAGGGTGGTGAAACGAGATGAGGGAGAGAGACTGGCAAAGGTGAGCATACTGCGACAAACACGCACAATACTTGTCACTTTGACATGTGTAACAAAAAAAAGATCATGCTCTACTTTAGCCAAATGCCACACATTTCCTGCCTCGATTAGTCTGACTTATAATGTCATTATATGCATACTGACCTCTTACTGAGGTAATTTTCCAGGCTGTGTCAACTGAACAATCTGACAGTAAATTTGACTTGAGGGGAAATATGGAGACACTGCTGCAATCAAGCTAACATCCTCACCTGACATCTTATTTACTTGAAGTGTGAGGAAAAAAATGCTTCAAAGGGAATAAAAAAATGACACATTCATAAATTATTCTTGAGTTATTGGTATTGATCTACAACCATAAGGTATTAGGTATTTTAAGCACTAGCTGTTAATGCTAAAAATGTAACAGAGCTGATCATTCTGTGAGCTTAAGGTCATTTTGGTTACACACACACAAACACACACACACACACACACACACACTTCTGAAAAAGTGTATTTCTGAGCAGGAGTTCGGTGTGCCCTTCATGGAGACGAGTGCTAAATCTGGACTGAATGTAGAGTTGGCTTTCACTGCTGTGGCCAGGTGAGTCACACAAGCAACGACACAGCATGAGAAATGTCGGGTCAGTTGGTAAACTCTGAATCTTATACTGTACATGAGGGGCTTGTTTGTTGTTGCTGCTGTGTGCTTGTGGTTACACAACAGCTCATTCCGCTTCACCAACTCAGCGTTTGTGAAACAAACGTGCAGAAAAAAAAAAAGAAATATCATTATTACTACTTACTGTGTGCAAGTGGATTAATGGATATGTAGAGTGCAGTTTTGGTTATCTGTTTATGTTTTTGGAAAACCAATGTGAGTTTTATTATTTTAAACACCTTAGATGTTCTGAACAGATGATAAAGCGTTTTTGAGACTGTACATCCTACTAAGGAAAGTCAGGGTTATGGTCAGTGTACATAACAGATGGTGATTTACTGGAACCAACGCAGAAATGCAAATATTGCAAGGATAGGTGGAGTTCAAAATTTTGTTTCTTTAGTTGAGTACCACACATGGTCCTGGCTGAACTTCTTTGAAAAATAACAAATGGGCTGATCAATATCATCATCCTGCTCTTGTAACACAGCCAGCAGCCACAGCAGGTGTTTTTAGCCTGGCTAAATCTGGTGTTGCAAGCCCAAATCCATGGCAGTTTAAGTATTTAGCTTACCTGAAGGCAGCTTGATGTTCATGCGTCCACTCTAACCTTTTTTTGAACCAAGCATTTCTGCTAATAGCTGAACAACTTTGGAAAAGTTCTGATAGAAACTACAATAGTAGTGTTATCTTGGAGTACCCTTATCAGTCCGTGTCCCACTTATATTTCCTTAGTTGTCAGTTACAATCACCCAAATTACGAAGGAAGCAGCTGCCTGGAGCGCATGAACAATCAGCGCTCTGCCGCTTTCCGTTCTCTCCTCTCAAAAGAATTCCTGGTACGGGGAATTTAAACCCTGGACGTCCTGTCATCTTACCTTCTATCTGCTGCCTCCCTCTCCTGCCTTTAGAAAAGCAACTGACAACAAAACAGATGAAAATAAAGAGTAGGCATGACCAGACTGTATTACTCATTTTCTCAAACCTTTGCTTAACATGGAAGTACTAATTAAGGTTGTCATTAAGCATCCCACTCTCTTTCTTAAAAATGTATTAAAAAGTCATAAAGTCTCCATTTCGTTGTTTTAATGAGCTAATTAACGCTACAAGAAAAATTATAATTACTGCCAAGAATAATCCCATGGGCCCAAAGGCTCAGGGTGTGGGGTGTTGAGGTCATTAGTCTGGGATTATTACATTTTTAGTAGGAGGTCATAACAAGACACAAAATAACCATAATAAATCAAAACAGCAAATAAACCAACTAGTTGGTCAAAGATGAGGGGAAAATGTGTTTGGAAAGCTCAGAGTATTTAAATGGAGTGGTCTACTTCCGTCATCACCTGAATCCCACACAAAGCAGCAGGGATAAAGGTTCCCAGACCATCTTCAAGCAGCTTCCTGATCAGATGACCCTTGCTGAAATGTGATTAACGCTAACATGAGTCACCTGATAAAAAAGAGCCATAAAGTAAATAGATTCTCACTGCTGGACAAAAAAAATTACTACTTGCAAGTCCAGTAGCAACAAAGCCAGGTCACTATCAGTGCCTGATTTTGTAACCTCCTTCAGCTCCCTCAAATGAGTGTAGGCTGTTCCGATGTTTACTCACCATTTTGTTGTTTGCGTCACCTAATTTCTCTTCCAGGCTCCACCATGACACCAACAAAAGAATGTCAAAATAATTCTTCTTCTTCTTTTTTGCTGTAAAACAGGTAGAGACCTCCTACTAGAGTTTCTATTAGGGATGCAGCTATCGATTACTTTAGTAATCGGTTAATTTGACTCAGTAATCAATCGGATATCCTTTGTTTCCTTGAAAATGCGGTAAAAATGTAAACAAAGCAGTACTAGTTGTGAAAAACCAGTTAACCAGTATATTTATATAACAACATTTATTTTATTCAGTTCCTTTTCATTTGCTGTCTTTAACTCAGCAGCATGTTCAGCGGAGAACATGCTGGATGGATTTGTCTGGGCCACTCTTTCAAATGATGCAGATTCCTGAAATAAAGAAAATTAATTTAGTTTACCTGCAAACAACTATGATTGATTTTCTAACAAAGATAATAAACTCCAAAACAAACTTTTAAACATGCTTTTCCTTTTTGCAATAAAGATAAAACTGCAATGTTACAAATAAAAAACGTTTTGATGTTTTCTCTGGGTGTCGTCATCCCTTTTGCATTCGCCCTGCTGCTTCTAACTGTATGATCAGTTGGAGCTGCTGTAGCAAAACAAGCGTGCTTGTTGTAAAATAACCGGAAGGTCACACTGGAATGAGACTGTACAACTCAAAAGTGAATAGAAACGAAGCATGGATTTACAAAATAAAAGTCGACTTTTTTATATTGATTTAATCAAATTATTAATTTGTTTCAGCCCTAGTTCCTATGCAAAGCACAATACAGTTTCTGGTCAGCAGAGGGTGACAGAGTGCTGTCCAATGGGAAGTTGCTATAGGGAGCATAACGCCGGGGACACACCGGCCGCCAAAGCGCCGCGAAACGGGAACCGCCTTCATTCGGCGCCCTTGTTATCCTATTCTATAGACCACATGGGTCAGCGCTCCAACCCGCGCCGTGCAGCGATCGTTTCGGCGTCTGCTCTGTTTTTTTTTTTTTCGCGAGCCGCGGGTGAACCACGTCAATTCTGGCAGGAAGTCAAACCTAGATATAAGAGGCAGTCCGGTAAATTTAACAAAATAAAGCATTTGAAAATACATTTCCGCGATAGTCAATTGTGTTTGTAAACAGACACTGCATAAAAACCACACACACACACACACAGCAAACGTGTGTGTGTGTGACCACGTGAAGGGGGTGTGGTTCTGGGTGTCTTTCAACCGGAGCAAACAGGACAGAGAGCCAGAAAGTCGTAGGCCAGCTATTAACAACTGGTTCACACCATAGGTTCACACACACGCGGACAAACACACACAAACAGCAAGGGGGAGGGGGGTGTAGAGGAAAAGAGCAGAGAAAATGCAGAGAGGAAATGGAGGAGAAAAACTACGAGGCGCGCCTCGACCAGAGCGGAGAACCAAGCATCTGGTCTAAACTGAGGAGCAGCGAGCAGCGGCCAAAATTTGTGAACGCTTCGCCTCCCGGCGCTTCGGCGGCCGGTGTGTCTCTGGCGCAAGTCTCCTCACTTTCCGGTTGGTTCATGGGTCCCCGGAAAAATGAAAAAAATGTATGTAAGTCAACGGGGTTAAAAACGCAAATTCCTAATCCTCTTTGCCTCACGCCCTGGATCGCACATATGTTGTACTGCAATTTAAATGAAAAGTAATGATGGGTGTTTTGACCACGCCAGTCAAGGACTTTGAGATTTATCAGCTTGTAAAAAATCATAATTATCATGACTACAAACTAGAAATCAGCACGTCGCATATGTACGTCACCACATAGTCTCCTCTCCCCAAAGTAGCTGCTGCTCATCACATGACCAGATTTACCGTAGTTCTTTCCTCCTGTGAGAAGGATTTGAAGTTTGTTTAACTAGCAGCCATTTTCCCTCAGTCTTCTCTGTGCCTGGTTCGATGACGTCACTTTCATGAAGCCCCCCACCCCCCCACCCCCCACCGCCCATTCGAAAATAAGCGTGTTCTTGGTATCAAAATGTGTCTTTAAAATTAACGGACATCATACGTGAAATCCATGGCACAAAACAAGCGGAATTAGAAAATAGAGTTTTTAGCCCCGTTGACTTGCATTCATTTTTTCGTTCTTCCGGGGACCCATGGTGGACCGGTAGTAGACTCATCCCCACCGGTGTGTGAATGTGTGTGTGAATGGGTGAATGACTGATTGTGTTGTAAAGCGCCTTGAGGGGTTCCAGGACCTTAGAAGGCGCTATATCAAATACAGGCCATTTACCATTTACATATAGATTATCTGACCAAATGTAGTGTTGGCTTTGACCCTCTTTTTGCTTTCACCAGGGAACTGAAGCACAGGACCATGAAAGAACCTGATGAGCCCAAGTTTCAGCTCCAAGAATACGTTGACAAAGAAATGAGGATTGCCGGCTGCTGCCAGTCGTAGACTAAGTCTTGTGTGTGTGTCTGTGTGTGCTTGCATTCTTCAGGCATTTTATTAGGCTAGACCATAAGCTAAAAGTCTGTGTGTGAATGGAAAAGACACAAAAATGACCTGTTTGTTATATTTCTCTGTGTTAAAATGCTCTCACACAGCCCTCCTGTCTTCTACAACTTTGGATGTCATATCATTACAGTCAACATAATAATAATAATAATAATACAGTTTATTTAAAAGCGCCTTTCTGGTCACTCAAGGACACTGTACAGAATAAAAACACAAATCATTCAGTAAGTAAACATGAACAAACAAGGCACTCTAAAATTCAAAGCTGATATGTGGTTATGAAGAGGTGAGTTTTGAGTTGTTTTTTGAATTCTGTGAATGAGTTAATGTTCTTGATGAGAGGGGGAAGGGAGTTCCAGAGTTTGGGAGCGGTGCAGCTGAAGGCTCTTCTCCCCATGGTGTTGGGATGGAAGGAGGCCACAGAGAGATGAATGGAGGAGGAGGACCTGAGGGAACGGGACGAGGTGACGATGCGAACGAGATCTGTGAGGTAGTGAGCGGTGAGGTTTTGGATGGCCTTGAAAGTGAGGAGGAGAATCTTGTAGTTAATCCTGGTGTGCACTGGTAGCCACTGGAGTTGTTTGAGGCTGGGGGTGATGTGATGAGAGATGGGAGTTTTAGTAATGATGTGTGCTGCTGCATTCTGAACCAACTGGAGCTTACGGAGGGTTTTCTGAGGGAGGCCTCAGAGAAGAGAGTTGCAATAATCGATACGTGATGTAACAAGACTATGGACAAGAATAGAAGTAGAGTGGACATCAAGGGAGGGGCGAAGATGATTAATGTTACGAAGATGGAAATAAGCTGACCGTGTGATGCTATTGATATGAAATTGGAAGGATAGTGTGCTGTCTAGGATGACACCCAGACTCTTGACCTGGGGAGAGGGAGAAACTGAAGTATTATCAACTGTGAGAGAGAAACTGTCAAATTTTGAGAGGGTGTTCTTGGTACCAACCAAAAAAAGTTCTGTTTTGTCTGTATTTAATTTCAGGGAGTTCGAACTGAACCAGGATTTTATTTCTTGAAGGCAGGTGATGAGGGAGGAGGGAGGAAGTGCAGGATTTGGCTTACTGGACAAATAGAGCTGGGTGTCATCCGCGAAGCAGTGAAAATGAATATTGAATCTGCAGAAGATATTGCCAAGGGGAAGGATGTATATAATGAAAAGTAGGGGCCCCAGGACAGAGCCCTGGGGCACACCAGAAGAGACAGAAGAGGGCTGTGAGCAGGAGGATTTGATAGTAATGAACTGAGTGTGACCTGATAGGTAGGACTGAAACCACTGAAGTGGGATGTTAGGAATGCCAATGGAAGATAACCTATGGAGGAGAATGGCATGAGATATTGTGTCAAAGGCCGCACTCAGATCAAGGAGGACCAGGATGGATAGTAGACTGGAATCAGCAGCAATGAGGAGATCGTTAGTTATTTTGAGGAGGGCTGTTTCTGTGCTGTGAAGTGGGTGGAAACCGGACTGGAAGGGTTCATAGAAGGAGTTTAGTGTCAGATGGGTGTGGAGCTGGGTAGCGACTATTTTTTCTAAAACTCTGGAGACAAAGGGTAGGTTGGAGATGGGGCGGAGATTAGGAAAAATGTTAGGATCCGAACCAGGTTTATTAAGTATTGGAGTAACTGCAGCAGTTTTGAAGATAGAGGGAACAATACCGGAGGAAAGGGATGCGTGTATGAGAGTGGAGACGAGAGGGAGCAGGGAGGGGAGGCAGGATTTAATCAAGGTCGTGGGAAGGGGGTCGAGAAGGCAGGTAGAAGGCTTTGACTTGTAGATAATATCTGATATCTCAGAATCACTGGGAAGTTGGAAAATAACTGTGTTGGTTCGGGAGGATCATATGAGGAGGTAGGGGGGATGCTTTGGTTGATTGCACTGTGAATGTTTATTATTTTTTCGTTGAAGAACAGAAGAAGGGCATTACAAGTAGCAGTAGAGCACATGTGTGGGAGCAGAGTATCGGAAGGCCAGTGAATTTTATTGATAATGGAGTACAATGACTTAGTGTTGCCTCGATTGGAGTTGATTAGACAGGAGTAATACTGTTGTTTGGTTAGTATAAATAAAGTCCTTATACTGAGTCATATCATTTTTATATAGTTCTTTGTGAATGGTGAGACCAGTTTTACTGTAGAGGCGTTCAAGCTGCCTGGATTTGGTTTTCCGCGTCCGGAGTTGAGGGGAAAACCAGGGAGCAGACTGACAGAAAGTAACAGAATGGGTTTTAACTGGAGCAAGGAAGTTTAAAATGTGAGCTAACTAGTCATTGTAGAGAGCAGCCAGGTCATCAGGAGAGGAGAGATTGTCCGGTAGCTGAATATTATCAAATAGGTGGATAAAGTGTCGATATTGATGTCCTTTATATTCCTAAAAGAAATGAGCCCGGTTGGTTTGGTAAAAGAAAGCTGGGTTACAATATTGAAAGAAATAAAATAGTGATCAGTGATGTGGAGATCATCAGCTGCACGGTTAAGAGGGGTGAGACCAGAGCAGCACAGCAGATCCAGGCAGTGTCATTTGGAGTGAGTTGGAAAGTTGATGTGCTGATTAAAGCCAAGGCTGTCCAGGCAGGATGAAAGTCTTTGGTGAGGGGAAGATCGCTGTTGTCCATGTGTATGTTAAAATCTCCAAGCACTCTTACATTAGATGAGAGTGTAGATAAATGAGTGAACAGTACTGAGACTTCTGACAGAAAGTCTTTGTGAGGTTTAGGGGGCGATAGATGATAGTGGGGGTAGGTCCATTAAGTTTAAAAACCAAATACTGAAAGGAATTAAAATCAGAGACAGACACTGGCAAAACTTTCCAATTCTCGCAATAGATTATCGCGAGACCTCCGTGAGAACCGCGTGGTTTGGTGAGGTAAACAAACCCGGGAGGAGTAGCGTCATTGAGCTGGGAGAAATCAGCTGGCTGCTGCCAAGTTTCGCAAAGGCACATGAAGTCGATTCCACGGTCCTTGATGAGATCGTGAATGAGATGACCTTTCCCAGTGAGAGAGCGGATGTTGAGAAGGCCGAAGCTGACGGTGGTGCTGTCACATCCATGAGCGTTAGCTGTCCTGGCGAGGCTGGCTAACGAGGAGTGATCAGCTGTTTGGCGGTATGAGTTCCTGTGAGGACGACGGCGAGTAGTGGACCAGAAAGAATTGATTGAAGTGGAGTTGTGGTAGTGGAAATTTCTGCGTGAGCCGCGGTGGACATATCTCCGACGGAGAAGATGAGATGTCCGGGTCGAGGTGCAGTGAAGCCGGTGCAGATCCAGGGCGGTGGCGAATCCTGAGGAGCTCAGCGGCAGTGTACTGGAGGAAGTCAGTAGCAGGTCGGTGGAAGATGAATGATCAAATCCAGATGAGTGCGGACCACACGTGAATAGTGTTGGTCCACATAATAGAGGTTAGGATTGATGTAGATATCCACAGTCCAGTCAACAATCCGATAGTGTCAGTCCAACATATAAAATCAAAATATAAAATCAAGTAAAATCAAAGTTCACTGGTGTGCAGCGGCAGCCAAACGCGCCAGCTTTCACTCAATCCGGTGGGTCCACGTACATGTAGTCCACAACCTGCTAAATTCATCTTCCAATTTTACATAAGTTATGTAAATATTTTATAATTTAGATTATTTTGTTCCTCTGAAAACATTGTGGTTGCTAAAAGCCTTGTTGAAACAAAGTGGACATAATTATATTAAAATGTGAATGAAATCAGTTTTGAGAATGTAACAAAATAAGACGATTTTATCAACACATTTGTACAACATTTCAAATACACCTAATGTGAGCTTTCTAAAGGCACTGTGTGCTGTTATTGTACAGAATATCATAACTGAAGTGTTGATGTGTCTGTGGAACATGTATCTTTTTTGTACACAGTGAAAGTATTCCAATAATAAATTTGCTTATGTGACCATTACAGCATTTTAAATGTATAAATATACAAAGAACCATCATAGGTACTCTGTGCTGCTTAGATTTTTAACTACATCTGGGGTTTTATTTTTTTAGAGAAACAATTGCCAACATGTAAATTTGCTTCCAGACTGAACATGTAAGTCAGGCGTTGTTGAAAAAGGAAAACTGTTAGTAAATTAGTAAAATCTGATTCAAGATTATTTACATTTCCTGGGTTTATTCTGTAGAATCAAACAAGAAAAAACATTTTAAAAACAAACAACTTCTTAATCAATCAATCAATCAATCAATCAAAGCTTTATTTATAAAGCGCCTTCCGCAACCCTGTCAGGAAGCCCAAAGCGCTGAACATGGTACAGTTGTAAGTAATTATACTGAATAAATCAACAATAAAAGAAATTCAAATTACAAAATACAAAATGGAAATAACAAGATAGATGAAACATTCCGGTAAAATACAAATGTGTGAAACACAATTGGATTGAGTGGATGGATTGAGTGTACCAATGAAAACTGTGGAATGGATTCAACATAATAGAGGGCCATAATCAAACATGTTCTGGAAACGCCAAGCGGAGGAGGTGTGTTTTTAGGTGATTCTTAAAGACTGGCAGAGAAGGGGACAGCCTAACTGAGGGTGGCAACTGGTTCCAGAGTAACGGTGCTAGGACTGAGAAAGCCCGGTCCCCACGGGTACGACACCTAGACCGAGGGACAGCGAGCAGGCCTTGGTCAGAGGAGCGCAGAGCGCGTGATGGGGAATGTCTGTTCAGGAGTGTGGCCAGATGGGGGGAGCACCACCCTGGAAGAAATGATAAACAAAGACGAGTATTTTGAATTGTGAGCGATAGGAAATCGGAAGCCAGTGCAGGGAGGTCAGAACTGGACTGATGTGGTCCCGTTTCCTGGTCCCAGTCAAGAACCTGGCAGCGCTGTTCTGCACAACCTGTAGGCGACGCAGTGTTGACTGACACAACCCTGTGTAGAGAGAGCTGCAGTAGTCAAGCCGAGAAATTACAAAGGCATGCAGTACCCGCTCCTTAAAGGGCAGGTGTGGATTTAGTTGAGATTTGCTGGAGGAAAATCCCAGTTTTTATAGTTTCAGTTTATTTGTTTAACTCATTCACCGCCAATGACGACTAAAGCAGTCATTTGCATTTTTTTACTGTGTGGGCGTCGGAACGAGCCACCGCACCGTGAGAGAAAACATCTCAGCTCTAAAGCCGATCTTCATCCGCATACGTCGCACGTCACGTGATCAGGAAGCAGAAAATCCATGTTTTAGGAGATCGTTGTGGGCCGCTGCTGTAAAAAAAAAGTGAGGCGCGAACCGGAAAAGCTTCTGCCGATCACAATTCAACAACGGATTATGAAAGAACGGATAACGCTCGAAATGCACGGATTCTTCCTGATGCAAGAGGTGAGTCTCCGCTTTGTTTTGGTTGTTTTGGCGTCGACATCCTAGCGCGCAACGTTCTGTCACTCTTAAGAAAACAGTAAAAACGGCGAGAAACACTGGCAGCGAAGGGCTTTACCGATCAGGAAACGGCTGGCAGGAACTGAGTTAATAACTTAGTCATTTTCTCTGAGGTGTAGGTATCGACAAATAAAAACGATGTCCCATTACTCTGTGGGGGACAGGTTTGAAGCCAAATGGGAGGTTCCCACCACCGCCACTTTAGCTGTGTCACATGTCCCGTCATGCCCAGACAATCCAAATATGGGAAAAGAGGTGAAGCTGAGGATGGGGCTGTTATGGCTGGAACAGGGTTGGGCTCAATCCCAATACTCGCACTGCGCCCTGCAGCCTTCAGTAAAATGCACTTGGAGAATGTGTGCAGTAAGGCTACAAGTGCGTGGTACACAATTGTGCAAATAATTGCTGAATTGAGACATTGAGCATTGAGTCATCGATCGCAATGCATGCCTGGATGCTGGTCACTGTGATACTTTAAAAAAACAAACAACTAACAATTTTCAAACATTTAAACTATTTTTGGAAGTATGTTTACATTCGTTGCTGCTTTTTCTTAAAGTTTTAGACCAACTAATCATCCTAAACTTAACCGCTTTCATTAGGAAATACACATTTTCAGAAAAGGAACTTGAGCCTGTTCTCCCGCAGCAATGGATTGTGGGTCCACTTCACCCAAGTCCGCATCGATGCGTGATCAACTTCCGCACTTGAGAATTGGGACACCCTACGCACTTGCACTCTGGTCGGGAGTGGGAGTATCGAGATTGGGCCTTGGAACCAAATGAATCTATGTGGCGACTAGCTAACTTAGCTAACCCAAGAAGCTAAGTTCTGAGGTAGCCAACCCACTTGGCCACCTGGCTTCCATGCAAGGCTGTCATGCTGGTAGTTTGTGGAGCTTGAATATGGACTGTTAAAATACATGTGAAGCGTCAGACCACTGCGATCGGAGCCGGGTGGTGAGGTCATGGTCAGCTTCAGAGATCAGCTACATGCTAACTTAAGGTAACAGAGGTATCTCAGGCACTATTAATGAGAGAACCACGGTAAAGCAACTCCAAAATCAACTCAAATAGCAGCGTGTATCTTTAAACTCCCTCAGAGAGCTCCACAATTGATCAGCAAAACTAAACTTAGCATGGAAGCCAGGCAGATGTGTGGTGTGTCTTGGACCCCTCAGAAGGCAGGAGCCTGTGGCCGCCTGCGCGTAGCAGCTGTTCCTGGCTGAGAGACAGGAGGGGCTGGGTGCCCATCTCCCTGAGCGTTCTCCACAAGGATAAAACAGCAGATTTGTGGATCTCTGATCGCAACACTGCTGCTGTGCTGTTAAATGGAGAAGCATGTTACTGAAAATTGTCAAACCTCTCTGCAGCGGCAACCTCGCAAATCTTTGAATGCAGTAGAGCAGCTTAGTCCTAAAGCCCCTGCAGCTTACGAGTTTCAGTCAGCCCTATCAATTTCTTGGCTTCATAAAATTCAGACCAAAATGGCCCCTTGGTTGTGGGTCAAAAGCCCAGGACAGACAACTGAAGCCCTGGTTTTAGAGCAGCTTCTATCCTAATCCTTAAGGTCCTGTATAGCTTGGATGTTTCCTCAATGGTGCCATTGCTTCTTCAGCATTTCATCAAGTTCTTTGAAGTCTGGTAATCAGCTCTTGATTCAGATTAGGTATGTTGAGCAGAGAAACACCTAAAACATGCAGGATAGTGACCCTAGGGGACCAGGACTGGACACCACTTGTCCATATGCAGACACAAGGGTCTTTATGTAGTTGCAATCCACAGTTTTACCAAGAGATGTCACCAAATCTTGCAGATTTGCTTTGATAAAACAAAACATTTTATCCTTCTGATTGTCATCAAGTGAAGTTGTATGTTAGGACCCAAATGCAGGTGAGAGCAGTCCCAGGAAGCAAGTTGCAGGTTAAAAAAAAACTGATTTACTTGGATGATGGGAAGACGAGATGAGAATCTGACACAGACCAACACCAACAGAGGGTTTAAATACATGAGGGTAATCAGGGAAACAGGTGGGTAAGGTAACGAGGGGCAAGTGAGTTCAATCAACACTAACAAACGAGATGAGACGCCAGAGACACAAGAGGCTACAGGAGCAGATCCTGACACTGATGTAACTACAAGACAGCTCTAAAGGAAGTTAGGTGTGGACCTCTTTAGATGTCCTTCAACCAGAATGCCTCCAGTTTTTAGACATGTCAGTGTTAAAAGGATTATTCTTTTTGGTCTTGTTATATTAATTCATGTTATTATGTGAGCAAATTTTAAAGAGAGTTTGTCGTTGCTATTTTGTTTAATAAATGACTTCATGTACATTTAGATGACAGAACTACAGACTGAGTGAAAATGTTTGGATTTGATCTCTTCTGAGATTTTCCTGTTGCTGTTGGTCATCAGAGTTAATCCATGTTGGTTTCTGGTTCGGGTGATTATCTAATGGTGTGGTTGGCTCGATCTACAGGAACTCGTGCTTTCATATAAACATTTGTCTCTTGTAGAAAAGGACAAAACTTGATGTTGTTAGCTTGGAATTTGTATCTTGTTTTTAATGTACTAATCTTTAGTGTTTAAAATAAAGGCATATGAAATGTTTTCTTGTGGATCACTGACTCCATCCACTGGCAGCAAATTTTAATCACATGAGTGGCTGTAGCCTCCCAACCGTTTTCTTTAATCTGGGTAATAAATGTCTCAAATTAAAACGAGCACTTATCTCTTACAACTGATAATCCCAAACCATCAGCCCCATTTTAAATTTGTCCTAGAATTCATAACCACATTTACCTTGCTGAATGGTGGCAGTTTGGGGTGTGTGATGTAGTATACTGTAAAGCTTGTGTAACCTAAGTAAAATAATAACGTCATGGTCACAGAGAAACTGTTTCTGACAGAAACTGGTTTAACAGACACACACACCTATAAAAATCACTTTAACAGGGGACATGTCCCACCAATAGTTGTAATTGAGAAATGTGTCCCCAACAATAATTTAATGCAGACAATTTAGCTGTGGTCACTTTTTCAAGAATTGATCTATTACCTACTTCTGCTGTCCCTTCTGTGCGTGTTTCAGTCATGGTGTTTCTAGTGCATTGCCAACTTTAAACTGGAGCCAAATTTTCTAAATGCATTTCAATAATACTTTATGTAAATTTAATTTCCACAGTACCCATCTGGCGACACTGAGAGAAAGAAACAAGTAGTGGCCACGAATTTATAATGCATGTCCACAACTTATTAATTGAATAAGATGAACTCTGGGGAATGGGATGGTTAACTTGTGGGACTAGTTAATAATGCATGAGCAGGGGTGCAACTCCTTACCTTCTGAAGGGTATGAAGACAGCCCTCCAGAGGTAAAAAATGAAGTGGAACAAAACTTTTATTATTTTTTTCAACTATTAAGATGAAAACATTTTAGCCTTTTTCTCTGCATTAAAGCTGCAGTGGTATATTTGGAAAACAAGCTAGCTTAAAAATAGTTTTATGCCTCTTTACATTTTTAACATAGTATAGCTATAAATTTTGTGGAGATGAAAAAAAGTTGATAGCGTGGTTCTCTCACATTTGTAATGATAATAGAGGGTAAATTGGGTTAAGTAAATTGCTTGAACCACCACTTGAGACCAATAAGCTGTGATACTCTATTTAAATATCACCTTGCCTGGTCTTTATTTGTTTTAGTCAGAAGATTCTAAGATTCATTTATTCATTAAGGGATCATACACACTTCGTAATGATTCAAGAAACAGTCAGGTTTATAAACAAAATCAGAATTTATTTTACAAACAATTAAGACTTGACAAATTGTTTAAACTATTATTTACTGTGAGTGGATGCTAACTAAAGATGGTGTCTGGAACCTATGTGTGAATATAATGTAATAGAGTCAGAATCTCCGTTTCTCCGAGAGCTGAGTTCTGGATATAAAATGATTTGGTTTGTGTTAAGCTATAAGTTGTTATCAAAACCACATGCAGACGCTATCTCACTGTGCTCCACCTCACCCGTTTGGAGACCCCGTTTGGATCCGAGATGTCCAGGAGCCAATGACCCCACTGCACCTTGTTCGTAGAGAAACCTCGATGCGACCAAATCAGTCCTCAGATGTCTCCGGGTCACAACGATAGATGAAACCAAGCGTCTTAAAAATAACTCTGAAGGAGTTTTGAGTCAGCTTTGTTCTGCAGGAAACTATCTTGTTGTTTCAGCTTTGCAGGTGCAAAAAAATGTTAAAAGGGTTTTGACAGACTTAACTGACAGACTGGTTAGAGAGGTTATGCAAAAGATGGCCAGTCTAAAGCTTTTCCTCTTAAAAACACTCGAACTGTTCGAACTGTTTTGTCTGAAGTTGAACTGAAGGAAAAACCAGAGTAAACTAGATTTAATGGATTGATGTTATCTATTAATGACCAACCAGAAGTTGGCATGTTTGAGGATATTACCAAGGATCTCAGAGACGCACCCTTTTTTGATTCGGAGACTATGAATCTGGGCAAAAGGTTAACTTATGTGTCATGCATTAACTTACTTTACTCTGTCCTTGTGTGAGTGCAAATGTTGATGACCTCATCCAGTAAACATGCTAACATATATCATTAAGCACAGATCAATGAACATTTCATTATTTATAATTAGCAATAACAAAAGTTCATTCAATGATTATTTTTAATAATAAAATCTTCTTTCTTCTTCTTGGATTAAAGGAGTTTATTTTAAAAAGTTCCTCTGAGATGGACCTTGGAGGAAAGACTGTTATTGTTTATTTTATTATTATCTCTGTCAGGGCTGCAGTCCAGCTGGTGTGAGGAAGCATGCTCTGATTAAAGGGGCTATGTGTAGACTCCCAGACTCCTGTGAGGGGAAAAGATACTGTAGGATGTGTCATAGCCAGGGTACGTTGACCTGGCTGTGCATTTGACCTGTGGGATCTCAAAATCAGGCCATTTGTGACGTTACACATTTGTCTAAAAATGTTTCGGACCAAAATCAACTGTTGTCGGTCTTGCTGAACCACAGAGAAAACCACTCATAAAAAGATACTAAAATTCTAGCTGGAACTAACTTTTTTGTTCAGTAAACAATTTGGATTAAAAGGGATGGTAATGTCCTCCAGTGGTAAAATAAAAAAATTGAACTAAATTTAGCCTCTAACTATTTAGATGAGAACATTTGAGCCTCTTTATTTTCACTGAGCTGAAAAATGAAATTATGATCTTTGTTTTCATCATTTTATGAGCATTAAAAAGTGCATTATGTAGAAATGAAGTAAAAATTACATACTGTGGTAAAATTTGGTTACTGCAACCGCTTTAAAAAACTCTGGAGCTTTTTGCTGCCCGTTGTCAAATTACAATTGTTGGTACGGCAGTATTAGCTCGCAGGAGACACCACAACCCCACCCTCACTGAAGATAAATTGTCACGTTAATCCTTCCTTTGTTTAAAAAGGAGAAAAACTGACAATCCCTGCAGCAGCTGGATATGAAACATGTTTCAGTATAACCTTCCTTCCAAAATGACTGAAACATCAGACTATTTTTGGGATTTTCTCACTGTAAATGTTTCACTATATTCTTACATACTGCGCCTTTAATGTTAGGAGGAGGAGGAGTACGGTTCTCTGAAATGTTGCGTCTCTAAGCTGCAATGATCATGAATAAGGTTTTGGGTAAAATGGATGAGTCTTAAAAATAAACAAAATGAATAAATAAACAGCAACAAACAAGCTATTTCACATAGAAGGTCTTTTGAACGGAACAGAGGTCATGCTTTAAAACCTTTTCAGCTCAAAATAAAAATATCTGCTCCTGTAATGAGAACATGAGCAGAGCCTGTTTATTGCAGACTTTTTATTAAAACAAACCATTCATAATTGAAGGATAACTATTTCTACACAGCATTGTAAATATTCCATGAGCTTGAATCTCATCTGTACTTCTCAGCGAGCACAGCAGCAAAAGCTGACAGGAACTTGTCCATGGCTGCGTGTGCAACAGGAGTGAACTCTTCTCCCAGGTAACAGGCCAGCGTGACCAGCATACAGTGAGACAGCAGCTGCAGGGACACAGAACAGCTCTTATTGGATGAACTCAGTCATTCTTTTACTTTCATTTGATCAAATTCTCTACAATAAAAGTAATGAAGTTTTTGCTTTCTTATAAAATTGTTTCTGTTAAACATGAATACTTAACTTTTTACTGTTATCTTTTTACTATATATACATGCTCCCAATTGGTAAAATCATTAGACAGCATGGGATAAACTTTCACTGTTATGCTGACGATACTCAGTTATATTTATCCATTAACCCTGATGAACCTAATCGGTTGGGTAGATTACAGGTTTGTCTTGAGGACATAAAAAATTGGATGACTCTAAACTTTTTGCTTTTAAATCAAGACAAGACCGAAGTTCTCATCTTTGGACCAGAAATCCAGAAAAGGAAATTGCTTAGTCAATCACCTGACCTGAATGGCATTAAATTAGTCTCCGAGAACAAAGTAAGGAACCTTAGTGTTATCTTTGACCAGGACATGTCATTCAAATCCCAGGTTAATCAGGTTTGTAGGATTTCCTTTTTCCACCTTCGGAATATTGCTAAGATTAGAAGCATCCTTTCCAGGAGTGATGCTGAAAAACTAGTTCATGCATTTATTACATCAAGACTGGATTACTGTAATTCATTACTCCCAGGAAGTCCACAGAATGTAGTTAAAAGTCTTCAGCTTGTCCAAAATGCTGCAGCTAGAGTTCTGATGAGAATTAAAAAGAGAGATCATATCTCTCCTGTCTTAGCTTCCCTACATTGGCTACCTGTTAAATTCAGAATAGATTTTAAGATCCTCCTTCTCACATAGAAAGCTCTTAATAATGAATCTCCATCATACATCAGTGATCTGATTGTTCCATACGTTCCTAACCGAGCATTTCGCTCTCAGACTGCAGGTCTACTGGTGGTTCCCAGAATATCTAAAATTAGGATGGGAGGCAGATCTTTTAGCTATCAGGCTCTGCTCCAGTGGAACCAGCTCCCAGCCTTAGTCCGTGAGGCAGACACCTTGTCTACTTTTAAGACTAGGCTTAAAACTTTTTTATTTGATAGGGCCTATGGTTAAAATCTGATGTTAGCCTGGATCTGGACAAGTGGGGGAGTAGAGGGAGGTGGAGTGTACAGCTGGTAAAGATGGCTCTCCCTTGCCCTGCCTCCAACATGCCTTCATCTAAAAAGGCTAGGTTATCCACAGTTATCTCTGTAGTTATGCTGCTATAGGCTTAGACTGCTGGAGGATACACCGACCACTTTCCACACTACTATTTTCTTCTACAATCTGCTCTTTAACTGTATTATTTTCTACAATTTCAGCTGTTAACTTTATTTTTTCTCTAAGTGTTTTTCTCCCCAGAAGAAGCTACAATGATGTTCTGCTGAGCTGTGGTGGCCTCATGGAGGGGGCCTTTGTCTAGCACACTGCAGCTAACCACAAACTTTCTCCCTCTCCTGATAATAACTTTTTGCTTTCCTTGGCGTTGGATGTGCTACTACTAGTTTATCCGTTTAATTATAGATTCACTAGGATAAATACAATAAAGTTTATCTCTCACCAAATAGAATATTTACTAAGCAATCACAATGTAACCATAGAACCATTGCTTGTGTGTGTGTGTGTGTGTGTGTGTGTGTGTGTGTGTGTGTGTGTGTGTGTGTGTGTGTGTGTGTGTGTGTGTGTGTGTGTGTGTGTGTGTGTGTGTGTGTGTGTGTGTGTGTGTGTGTGTGTGTGTGTGTGTGTGTGTGTGTGTGTGTGCTCTGTCTTCTCCATCCCCAGTGAGTCATGGCAGATGGCTGCTTATACTGAGCCAGGATCCTCTGGAGGTTACTTCCTGTTAAAAGGGAGTTTTCCTCTCCACTGTTGCTAAATGCTTGCTTAGTATGAGGATTGCTGTATAGTCACTGACACTAGTCAGTGACTTGATGCTATTTGCTGGGTTCCTTATATAGGAAACATTTTTCCTGATTGGCTTAATGACCTGAATTAGAATATTTATCATGTGAAGTGCCTTGAGATGACTCTTGCCGTGATTTGGCCCTATATAAATAAAATTGAATTGAATTGAATTAATCTGGAATTTATGAATGCACCAATTTGACATTTTGTCTGTTGACAAACTATTTTTAACCAGCCCAGTTATCCTCCTGACTCGGCTGTGCTGTAGAAAGAGAAAGATATGCTAATAAACAACGAGAAATTGCCAACAGACTGTAAAACGTCTGGGTGTCTAGTTCTCCTGCAGCACCAGAGCTGCATTCTGGGAAACGTTAGCCATCCTACCGGGGCCGCCGCCTGCCTGCTCTGTCATGGGAACACACTGCTGAGTACAGCTGCCTTTTGAGGGAGTGAACAACTTGAAATAATTAGCTGCTACTTTGAAATACATTCATAATACCAACACGTTTTTTTAATCAGTGTACTTCCTAAATAAATGGTAAATGGTCTGTATTTGATATGGCGGCTTCTAGAGTCCTGGAACTCCCGAAGGCGCTTTACAACACAGTCAGTCATTCACCCATTCACACACACATTCACACACTGATGGTGATGAGCTACGATGTAGCCCCAGCTGCCCAGGGCACAGGCGCCACCGGTCCCTCTGACCACCACCAGCAGGCAAGGAGAGTTAAGTGTCTTGCCCAAGGACACGACGATAGCGACAAACTGAGTGGGGCTCAAACCTGCCTAACCCTAACCCAACTCCAGGGGCACCATCGCCCACAAAAAGTGAAAGTGACACTTAAAGGACAACATGGATGTGTTTTCTTCTTATGTATATGCTTTCCTGAAGCATCAGAACATGACTCTGTATTGCCAGATACTCAAAATCGAATTATTCTAAATCAGATCAGTAGCAAAAAAACGTGATTGGAACATCCCTAGTTTAATTTGAATCCATCAACAAATAAAAGCGAGGCACAAACTCCAGCTTTCGGAAAAAAGGAGCTGAGAATAAACTTCCATCCACCCATCCATCCATTTTCATCCGCTTATCCAGAGTCGGGTCACGGGGGCAATAGCCTAAGACAAGGGGCCCAGACTTCCTTCTCCCCAGCTACTTGGGCCAGCTCATCCGGGGGAATCCCAAGGCGTTCCCTGGCCAGGTGAGAGACAAAGTCCCTCCCTCGTGTCCTGGGTCTACCTTTAGGTCTCCTCCCGGTTGGATGTGCCCGGAAAACCTCACCAGGGAGGCATCCAGGAGGCATCCTGACCAGATGCCCGAGCCACCTCAACTGGCTCCTCTCGATGTGGAGGAGCAGCGGGTCTACTCCAAGCCCCTCCCGAATGGCCGAGCTTCTCACCCTATCTCTAAGGGAGAGCCCAGCCACTCTTCAGAGAAAACTCATTTCGGCCGCTTGTATCCTGTAATGTGATGGAGGAGCTATTCCACGGTAGGTTGTACCCTCTCTCCTCAGATGTCTCTGACACAGAACTAATCTGCATGAGATATTGCTCAAGGTCTCATGTATTTGCTTCTAAACTGTTTCCCTTCCAGCTCAAGAGAAGAATGAAGACAAAGGATTCTTTCTTTTAATAAATCAGAAGAACTATATTTTAATAAGCTAATCAAACAAAGTGTTGGTCAATGATAAAATGTGAACCAATTTGTGAAATGAAAATATGAAATTCTTTATTATAGTCCTATAGAATATAATAAGTAATATAACGTTAAATATTTCCACTAGAGACTGATCACACGAGAGGGAAAGTCACATGACACATTGCTTTTACTGATCCAATCAGAGTCTTCCAGATCTGACGGAGGTGTGGTTTTGGTGGTGCTTGGTAAAGCTGTCCTTTTTTGATTCGACCGTAAATCAAAACATCCAAATTATAAAACTATGCTCTTGTCACCTTTAACTGGAGTTCAAAGCGTTCTAGAGAAGTTGTCGGAGTGGCCAATCCGTAACTTTCCTCTTCAGCCGAAAGAACCAATGACAAGCTGGATAAAATCTGTTGCTTTTCCACCTGCTGCAACGGTTCCTTTCAGAATAAAAGCTGAACCATCACGACCCCTTTTTGGGTCTCACTAGATGCCAATAAAACTGTCATGATCCAGAAATATATCAACACTGGTCTGGTCGGCAACCGCTGCTTTTCCTACCGGCTTCGGTTCCAGAGAAGGTCAAGCTGGACCTCGACATTCCTGATCTAACGGGGGCTTCCGCCAAGGGTATGTAGGCTGACAGAATGGCATCACAATGTGTTATAAATCTCAAAGCCAAAAGCTTAGCACAAAACATCATCTTCACTCCCATCAGAACTAATCGTTTCTCCGGATGTGCTGGTTCTGAAATATTCACACACCATTCTCAGTCTCACTTCACCTTAGTTACACCATACATTTAGTGTTTAAAGTTAGTCTAGTTTTAATTTGTTTAGTAAAAAATCTTTAAACTTTTAAAACTTGACTCACTCTCTTTTCATGAAGTTAATACGAAGTGTTCCTCAATCCCTGTAATAAAAAGTTCCGAACTTCTGATTAAATTTACTTAAAGATCCATATTTCACACTTTATAGTTTCTAATTAAATGTAGGAACATCTTCGCTACAATCCGCAATCTCGTTCTTTTGGTCACTACCCAAAGCTCATGACCATAGGTGAGGGTAGGAATGTAGATCGACCGGTAAATCGAGAGCTTCGCCTTCTGACTCAGCTCTCTCTTCACCACGACAGACTGGTACAACGCCCGCATCACTGCAGATGCAGCACCAATCTGCCTATCTACCTCACGCTCCAGTTTTCCCTCATTCGTGAACAAGACCCCGAGGTACTTAAACTCCTCCACTTGGTGCAGGACCTCATCCCTGACCCAGAGAAGGCGTTCTACCCTTTTCTGATTTAAGACCATGGTCTCAGATTTAGAGGAGCTGATTCTAATCCCAGCTGCTTCACACTCGGCTGTGAACCGCTCCAGCGAAAGCTGAAGATCACGTTCTGATGAAGCCAACAGGACCACATCATCTGTAAAAGCAGAGACCTGATCCTCAGACCACCAAAACGGATGCCCTCCACACCTTGGCTGCACCTAGAAATCCTGTCCATAAAGGTTATGAACAGAATCGGTGACAAAGGGCAGCCTTGGCGGAGTCCAATTCTCACTGGAACGAGCCCGACTTACTGCCGGTAATGCGGACCAAGCTCTGACACCGGTCATACAGGGACCTAACAGCCCGTATCAGAGGGCCTGGTACCCCATACTCCCGGAGTATCCCCCATAGGACCCCCACACAGGGACCCCCGAGGGATGTAGTCAAACGCCTTCTCCAAATCCACAAAATACATGTAGACTGGTTGAGCAAATTCCCACGCACCCTCCAGGATCCTCCTAAGGGTATAGAGCTGGGCCAGTGTTCCACGGCCAGGACGAAAAACTTATTATGTATTTCTTATTTTTATTTTTAAGAAACACCTTAAAATTAGTTGGGTCTATCCGGAGCTGGTAGGCGTGCAGCGTCTGCAGGGGAGCCAGGGCGACGGTCAGCTGACTGATGTCTTTGGCACCCTCAGCGATGGCCAGGACGATCTTCTTCCCATGAGAATACAGGTGGGAGGATCCAGGACTGATGTCAAGATGGGAGAAGTAGGTCTTTGTGCCTGGATAGGAAGCAAACATCCTGCATGGAAGGGGGAAAAGGTTGGATCATGTTTGGAAAAAATAGGAGCCGCGCAACAGATGTTATTCTGTCTTAGAGCCATCATTAGGAAAATAAGCTGTTTATTTATTTATTAATTTATATCTCATTACTCATTTGGAGCACTGTTTTAGGCAAATTAATAACATAATTGAATGTTTTGCTTAAACATGAATCTTTTTTTAATGCAAAATTTTCCCGTTGATTTCAGGTTTTATAAGGATGAAAAGACTAGAATGTTCTCCTACCAGCTGGTTGACCTGCTGATTAAGGGATAGTTCAGAGTAAGTAGGTTTTTAAAGTCATTAACTGTTAATATATCACCCGTGTCACATTTATTTTTCTTGGTAACAGAGTGTTTGATCATTTGTGTTTAGATTAGTTTTTCAGATTAGTTCTGACCAGATTGATAAGCTAACGGTTAGACTCAGTGGGATCAGTAATGAAGTGGATACCAGTCATTTAATAACTGCTCTAAACTAAAAAGTTTAGTAGCCTTTTAACATTAATCAAAATTATATGGTACAACTTTACTTTCTAAATTAATGCATGATAAATATACCTAATAGATGCCCATTGATTATTAATCAAACGTTACAGATGAATTATTAGCGTATATTTTGACCATTTATTTGCTGTTTATAAGGGGAGCCTCACTGTTTATGTTAAACTCGGCATCATTATTGACAAATCGTGTTTGTTTGTTTGTTTGTGGTGTATTGTAACCCCGGCTACAAAACCTTCCAGTGGGTGGTGGTAATGCACCACCACGTTGCTTGCCAACTGCCATGAAAAGAAAAAGAAGAAGAAAAAAGGAAAGCTAGGTGACGTCAGCACGCAGCACGCGGCGAAGTAGGTTTTTAAAGTCATTAACTGTTAATACATCACCCGTGTCACATTTATTTTTCTTGGTAACAGAGTGTTTGATCATTTGTGTTTAGATTAGTTTTTCAGATTAGTTCTGACCAGATTGATAAGCTAACGGTTAGACTCAGTGGGATCAGTAATGAAGTGGATACCAGTCATTTAATAACTGCTCTAAACTAAAAAGTTTAGTAGCCTTTTAACATTAATCAAAATTATATGGTACAACTTTACTTTCTAAATTAATGCATGATAAATATACCTAATAGATGCCCACTGATTATTAATCAAACGTTACAGATGAATTATTAGCGTATATTTTGACCATTTATTTGCTGTTTATAAGGGGAGCCTCACTGTTTATGTTAAACTCGGCATCATTATTGACAAATCGTGTTTGTTTGTTTGTTTGTGGTGTATTGTAACCCCGGCTACAAAACCTTCCAGTGGGTGGTGGTAATGCACCGCCACGTTGCTTGCCAACTGCCATGAAAAGAAAAAGAAGAAGAAAAAAGGAAAGCTAGGTGACGTCAGCACGCAGCACGCGGCGAAGTAGGTTTTTAAAGTCATTAACTGTTAATACATCACCCGTGTCACATTTATTTTTCTTGGTAACAGAGTGTTTGATCATTTGTGTTTAGATTAGTTTTTCAGATTAGTTCTGACCAGATTGATAAGCTAACGGTTAGACTCAGTGGGATCAGTAATGAAGTGGATATCTGTCATTTAATATTAGCTCTAAACTAAAAAGTTTATTATAAGTTGATGGGAAAATCACCTTATAAAAACTGAAGTCAACTTAGACTAAAGGGGCTAAAGCAGAATGCACCAGAAACGACAGGTTAGGGGAGAGTTCAGCGCAAATAATCCTGAATCCTTTCATTAGATCCTCAACTTTTCCTTTAACAAATATGACATTTTAATTAATTATTCATTTTTATTGCATTGATTTTGCAGGATAGTAAACCATTTCAATGTTCAGCAAAGTTTTCTGTGTCTGCTGGTTTGAATGAGCTGCTCGTAGGAGAGGTGAAACAAACGAGTGGCGCTTCCTGTTAGGAGAGTAAAACTTCCAGTCAGAACGGAAAGAGTAAGTTTTAAGGTTTTCTTATTTTCTGACTACATTTCTTTAGTCCCATGACTTCATGACTTAGAAATGGATGGAAAGTGGGATTTGGTTGTGGACAAAAGCTTTCTGAAAATATTTTCTTTTCTTGATGTTTGTGAAAGGTGCATTTTCCTTCTTGAACCTTGAAATACACAAAAAAATTATTTTCCAACCATTTTATAACAATGGGGTTCTATGTCCTGAAGCCAGAACAGAAAAAATAAATAAGACGTTAGACGTAGAAAAGACAATAACATGTTTATTTCGTGCTGTTCCGAGCTTGTGTTATGCTTCAAAACTGTTTCTGCCAGTATAACTGTTATGTGACCCTGATCTAGATTCCCATGGTTACTTTTATGTGGCAAATTGACATTATTTTAAGATTACACTTTTACACTTATACACTGTGACTAGCAGTTAACCTATCAATCTGGTAGGAACTAACCTCCAGTTTCTCCAAACTGAAGCCATTTCATCTAAGTTGAAAATGTTGTATTTTAGAAACGTTCTACAAGATCCCATCTAAAAACATCAGAGCTTTAACTCATCTGATGGATTACGAAATACGAAGCATGAAAGCCTTAGCGCTGAAGTTACATGATGATTTTTACAAAGCATATTTGGACAGTAGGAGGTTTATTCTCCACTCCCAAATAACAAAATCTATTAAAAAACAAAATAAGTTCATATTTTGGACACACAGGAAAGTGTTAGCCTACCTATGAAGTGCTTCTGAGCCAATGTTCTCAGCCACTGGAGTCAGTCTTTCCCATATTTCTTTAATCAGCGCTTTCTCCTTCTTTGACAGCATTATGGTCTGGATAAAAAGTCAAAGCTTCAGGTTTCTTTACAGGAAACAAAGCTGAACTTCAATCAACCATTTTATTACCATTTACATAAAAAATTCAAACCCTGACATGAACGTTGGGGGATAATTCTCGCTGATGGAAAAGGAAACTGAGACGTTCTGGTCGGAGGCAGCTGTGTGTTGGTTCCTCCTTCGTGTTATCAGACAGGAGCCAGGGCAGGGCGGGGACTCCACAGAGCTAACGGCGTCACCTAAACAAGTACTGAACACTTATTACAGCCGCTGTGGTGCTGCTGTGGAGTTTTCCCTCTTTTTGATGAGAAACTGTGACGCTGTTTTACAATAAAGTTTTATAAGGAGTAGCTCCTCAAGAGAAACTGTAAAAATCTTCTAAATCTATCAAAATGAGACAGTTTTATTAAAGTCCATCTGAATAAATGACTGCTTCCCTTTCTCAGGTCATGTTTAGGAACTTTAATAAGAACAATAATTGATTGGTGTTGTATTTGGGCTTAATGTTTGTTACATGGAAAGGAACATCCTGCAGCTTGTGCAGATAAAGGTCCATCCATCCATTTTCATCTGCTTATCCGGAGTCGGGTCGAGGGGGCAGTAGCCTAAGGCGAGAGGCCCAGACTTCCCTGTCCCCAGCCACTTGGGCCAGCTCCTCCAGGGGAATCCCAGATAAAGGTCGTGAGCTGTTATCTGCAGCTCCATGAGCTGCTGTTCAGAGTGTGGTGGTGGTGGTGGTGGGTTGGGGGGGGGGGGGGGGGGGCGGCTGCTGATAACATTGTAGAGGACCGGTGAGCTGCACAACCAAAATGGCTTTTTAATTGTTGTTTATATTATAATATCTGTCACACAAAGGAGGGATTAGGATTAATAAAAGTGCAACACTTATGAAACTATTTGCAATTAAAATGTAATGTTTCAGAGATCTTGTTGTAAGTCCAGCAAGAGGGAGAAAGGACAACAGCATGTGAACGAGTGTGGACGAGAAAAGCCCAGTGCCTTTAAAATGGGCTCCTCCTCATAGTCAGTCTGCTGCAGGATGGAGAGCTTCAGCATGGTCCTGTGATGTGGTGAAGGTTGTGCTGAATATCAGCATAACAAAGAAGGTCATAGAGTTCAGAAAAACGCCCAGAGGCCTGCACAGACAGACACCCCCCCACCCCCACCCCCACCCCCGACACAACCCTACGTGGACAAAGTGGGTTCAGACAATGGATGGAGGGATGGATGAATCTTTTTAGCATCTGTAAAACAGATGATCTCATTTTGTAGTGAGTCCGTTTTAACATTTGGTTTTATTTGTCATGTGGCTGGTCTTGTTAAAACAGCGAGTGAAGAAACTGGTTCTTACCAGCGTGCCCTTGTCAGATATCAGAAACCGACAGGTTGTGAAAAAGGCCGAAATTAACCTAGTCTTATGTCAAAAGTACAGGTTGCTATCGAGACAAATATCCCTTTGTCCCAAGTACCACTAACGCTTTTAATGAATTTCAACCAATGATGTTAGATTAATGTTTTTATCTTTTGTTATTGAGTGTGATATTTTTGTTTATCTTTGACTGCTGCTGTGCCCCAAATACCACCATTAAGGACAATAAAGAAGTAAGCTAAAACTAATGTGACCAAATTTTACACCAAACAAAATGTCAGGAGTTCCATACACACACACACACACACACACACACACACACACACACACACACACACACACACACACACACACACACACACACACACACACACACACACACACACACACACAAAGGAGCAGCAGGTAAGACACAAAAACCATTACAATTAGAGAGCATGAAATGAGGACAGGAAAAAGAATGGTGAGCCTGATAAACTGAGGACTAGATGCTCTGGGAGAGCTAATTATAGATATGAGCTAGTGAAAAACCCAGAACTATAAATTACCAAATACAAATAAACTAAACCACAGGATAAAAATAAACAAGTAGACACAACCTTGACACAAAATGTGGGTTTAGCTAAACTCTAAAAGTTTCCAAACAAAACAAAATAGCTTACATTTTTTAATGCTTCCTAAAGATTAAAAATAATATATATGTAACAGACGCTGTCTGTTATGGTGGCCACAAGGTGGCCTCATCGTCACTCCCTGCTCTCCTGGCCCTAGCTGAGCCAAGTGCAGCTGATTTCAATCAGTAAGCTTTCCTGTTAAAAGCCAGCTCTTTGTGACATTCTAGGAGGGAAGTTTAGAAGAGGTCTGGCGTTAGAGTGTGTGCTCCTCTTTTCCCTCCTAGAAACCTGACGTTAAAGTCTTGTTTGTTACCTGTGTGGTATTGAGTGATATCTTCCTCGTAATATAGAGCTCGTTTTGTGTTGGTTAGAAATACTCAATAAAGAGTTCACCTCACCCTTTTGGTGGAGCTTTTTGTGTTCATCCCATTCCTTCCTTTTTCCCGGTTTAGTCCCGGCATTTTGTGTTTATCGATATTATTATTATTTACCCAATTTTGGATGATCTTTGTGTTTATTGATGGCTCTTTATTTCCTGCTTAAAGCAGCAGTCCTTTTAGTTAAAAAACACTCCTTCAGGAGAGTAATCCTTGGTTTGTCCAGTCATTCACACATCTTTCTTTACGCCCTCTCACACCATCATCTCCTAGGCGAGCTGGGGGGGGGGGGGGGGGGGGGGGGGCGTAAAAGAGTGGGGGCTCGTACGGGATTTAATGTATTTTTTTTTTGTACAGTTATACCTGAAATTACATTCTGTGTGTTGTCTTCAGGACTAACCTTGTTTTCCTCTCTTGGAGGTGGAGCGGACGTCACCATGGCAACCTTTGACTTGCAGGCTTTTGTGGAGGCTCCTTCGCACCAGCTGCTGGAGAGCTGTAGAAAAGCCGACCTGCAGGAAGTAGCCGCCCACTTCGACCTGGTTGTCCCGAAACAGCTCACGAAAGACGCTCTACGGAAGTTCGTTGTGGACTATTTGGAGGCCCAGGAGATCCTTCCACCTCCTTCCAAGACCGGCTAAAGTCGTTCATCGCCTCCGGTGACTCCAGAGAAAGAGGTTAAGCCAGAAGAATCCTCTTTAGGCTCACCGTCGCCAGATCACAATCCTCCTACTTCGCCACACAGTAAAGCTCGCCTGAAGCTCCGGCTCGCTTGCCTGTGCATCGAGGCGGATGAACGCACTCTCGAATGGAGATTACGCCATGAGTTGGACTTAAAAAGGCTGGATGCCGAAACTCAGCTAAAGATGCTCGATCTCGAGCTACGGAACAAGAAGCCCGTTCCTGTTGCCGCTAGGACTTCCTCTCAGGAACTCGATGGTTCGGACGCCTCCCAGGCGGGAGTTAGACCCAACCCAGGAGCACCCGCCAGTTCGCCATTGCAGACCCCACCTTTCGATGTCAGCAAATGCATCTCACTGCTGCCCCAGTTCCAGGAGACGGAAGTGGACGGCTACTTCCTAGCTTTTGAGTGGATCGCTGCGATGCTCCAGTGGCCTCACGAGGTTTGGTCTCTACTCTTGACTTGCAGGTTAACAGGTAAGGCCCTTCAAGTGGTATCCGCTCTGTCTCCAACAGATGGCGCTAACTATGACAAGGTAAAATCCTCTGTGCTCACGGCCTATGAACTTGTTCCCGAAGCCTATAGGCAACGGTTTAGATTCGAAAAACCTCAACTAAACCAAACTTATGTTGAATATGCCCACTTAAAGACTGTGTTATTTGACAAATGGTGCACTGCTTCTCACATCTCCTCACTCACTGAACTGAAGGAGCTAATTCTGATAGAGGAGTTCAAACGTCATCTTCCTGAAAAACTGGTTCACTACTTAAATGAACAGAACGTCACTTCCTTCTCTGAGGCTGCTCTCCTGGCCGATGAATTTTCACTCACGAACCGAGTCCGAGAGGTTCGTTCTGAACCAAACCGTGGAATCAGATCCAGTGTAAGACCACCTCCAAATTCAAAATCTGACAATCCAGAGTATTTTTATTGTCATAAACGCTGTCATGTTATCCGTGATTGCTACGCCTTAAAACTGAAAAACCGTAGAACCGGAAGTTCTCCAAATAAAGACAGAACTGAGATAGCTTGTTGTTTAGACGCCAACTCAGAAAAGCCTAACCCCTTGTGTCTATTCTGGGTTCTGAAACCGACACCAAAGTTGTCACATTGAGAGATTCGGGAGCTTCCCAAACCTTAATAAGGAGGAACGTGTTGTCGTTCTCCGAAAACAGCCAAGCTGGCTACTCCGTATTGCTGCAAGGTATTGAGATGGGAGCCATCTCTGCTGAAATGCACACTATTAAACTGTCCTGTCCCTTAGTCCCGGGAGATTTTGTGGTTGGGGTGTTGGATGAACTCCCACCTAAAGGAGCTGACTTAATTTTAGGGAATGATGCTGCCGGAGGCTTAGTCGTGCCTCTGCCTGAACTCATATCGGGACCAGAAGTTCATGCTAGTGCAAGCCCTCTACGGGCCTGTGTGCTGACTCGCGCTCAACCCGGAAGTCTCGCTTAGCGACTCCATGTTATCCGATGTTACTGAGACAGGTTCGGCTGTAAAAATGCCTGATCTGGCCTCTAGAGGTCCTCAAGGGGATCTACCTGTTTCTTGTGAGTCTTTAGCTGACGCTCAGAAAACCAACCCAAGTCTAGTGTCTCTGTTTGCTCTAGTTGGTATTGTGCTGTTGTGTTGTGCTCCTCTTTTAGCAGCTCCAGACCTCGCTCAACCATTTACGCTGGAAGTCGACGCCAGCCAAACCGGTGCAGGAGCTGTACTCATCCATGAGGATAAAGATGGGCCTGATCACCCTGTCTGCCATTTCTCTGGGAGGTTCAACTGTGCAGTTTCTCCATCAGACAGGCACTGTAACATATTCATGTCTGAGTTAAGACACTTCGTTAACTTCTTTTATTATTTCCAGATTCCGTTCTTTAGACAACCAACTGCTGTTGCGATGGGCTCTCCTCCTCCAGGAGTTCAACCTGGAAGTCCCACAAGAAGGGGACGGACAACGTGATGGCTGATGCGCTGTCTAGATGCCACGCAAATTGAGGCTCCCTTGTAGATGTTTTTTTTATGTAGATGTGAGTATCTCTTTTAAGGCTAGTGTTGTTAGTGCGAGCTAACATCTCGGGGACACTCCGGCGCTGAGAATCAGCACCGTGTGATTTTTAAGTGTTTAATCAGCCCGCCTTCCGAGATCTAGGGATT